AGAAAAGGAGGGTCAGGGGTTCCTTAAGCGTCTAACAGCACGTCATGATGAACGAGAATGGAAAGGAAGGCCTCTTCGCACTTGCCCCCCTATCTAGGAGGGGGATATGAGAGAACATGTGGCCCAGCATACAAAGAGGAACAGTGTCGACAGTATTTTTCTCGATAACTTCCGACATACGTCCCTATTCATGGGCTGTCCTTCGTCGATTATACGTGGCAATATACTAAAGCGGTGTAATCGCAGTAGCAAACTTGTCCTACAAATCTACGGGAAAAGCCGATGATACGTCCATTCGTGAAAGACACTGACTGCTCGGGTAGCTCTCAACAGCAGGACAATGATGATGCGTGTGTGTGGAATCTTGAATTTCTCCCTTCCATAGGTTAGTGATGACGACTTTTCTAGGCGCATCGGACTGTAAAGGAGCAATTATAGGAACGGTAAGGCAGGAAGGAGGACTAGAACCTGGCTCCAACGTTCTAAGATCTTCTACTACTCGTGGAAATGCTTAAATTCATGTTTATAATCATGGATTATTTGGTATTTTGTAGGTACGCTTATCCAGATTCGTTTGTATGCAACACGTAGCTGATTTATTTCTTATGATGAGCACATGCTGACAGGTTTATCCCTTTCGCTTTCATCATTGCTCAAATATTTTGCAATGAATTATTCAGGAGCTGGAAACAAGGCGCTTTCCAGCTAGTAATTGCAGCCATAGATGCCGATTTTGACATGTCGGCGATGATTGCATTTTAGCATGGTTTTCAGATAATTTCACAAGTCAAATAATTGTGGCATCGATATTCGGACCCCAACATATATAAAAATAATTTTTATTTTGATGATGAAAATGTTCTGGGGACCTACATGAGGTTTCATTGGCAAAAGTAGGCGCTGCAAAGCATTCGAAGTTAGTTTTCGAGTATTTTCATTTTGAAACGGTCGCTTTGCACCCCGGACGCTGTAAAGCACGCCTTCTAATCGAACGGTAAAACCGCTGTTCAAATGCTCCCTGACGTTTGAACAGATTCATCATTAGTTCTTTGTATCTTTGAAGCATACTAATTCTCCAAGAAGCACACGATAATTGCGCATTTCTACGTGTGCAGTCAAGGAAGGCGAGTCGTCGATTATTTCCTGTTTCCTTTGCACGCGCAGAGCGTCCAGAGCCTTCCCACGCGCTGTGTAAATGTCTTGACACATTTCTGGTGATCTTTGGCTCGCTTGCTAATATAGTAATTGCCATCAAGCAATCAAGCCTCATGTCCAATCCAATTGTCATACATGATTGTCTACCTAGAGAAGAACTTACTCGAGGCAGAAAGAAACATACGTTAGTTGCCATCAAGCACTCAAGCCTCATGTCCAATCCAATTCACATACATGATTGTGTACCTAGAAAAGAACTGGGTGCTACAGACATTCTTGACATGTTTTGGTCATCCATAAGACCTCTAATGTCCTAAGAAGACATTGCAGATAGGCCTGTACCATTTGATTTGTGTATATTGAACTGATGATCGAGCATTTTCTTACAGTTCGACCTGTCTCAAGCGTCCATAACAGTCCAAACGCGCCCATATTCAAATCCACGAATCCAGAAATGAAAGATTTCTTTTGCGTTCTCTTCGCCGCTGTTCTGGGCTTTGGAAGCATTTTCACTTCCGTCTTCAGCCAGGTCCGGCCCTGTGTCCACACAGACCGCCCGAAAAGAGAGCAAGACCCCTTGATACACGTCACGGCTTGCGGCCAAGAGTGTCCACGGCTTGATCTAACGGCTAAAGTTAGGCCAAATCCTAGGCGTGGGATCATCGCCGGGAGGGGAAAAGCTAAAATCACAATCATACTTAAGAGTCAAGATCCCGTGGACAACGTGGAGTTTCAGTTAAACCTGCCGGACGGGCTGTCGGTTGATCGAACAGCAATGCGTCCTTCCTCCAGGCCCCTTACACCGCCACAAATTGTTAATAATGCGGATGGAGCGACGACCATGTACTGGCAGCGCCTCGCTTTCATCAAACGCAAAGGGGGCAAACGCCGCTTCCATGTCGTGGTGAAGGCTAACGAATGTGCCCCTGAGACGCTGGAGGTGGATGCGTCTGCTTATCTAGTGAATACAACAGACTCCTCGTGCATCACGCCCCTGGCCAACCCCGCCCTGGTAAAAGTGCGATACTCAAAGCGCCAAAAAAAAGCGACTTGCGGACCGACTCCGGCTCCTTCCATCAATCCCCAGCAGCCTTTTGTGCTCTTTGGTGAAGGCCAGCGATTCTCCCAAGGGGCGCGCCTAGCCCCCTTTCAAAACCGTTTGTCGATGCTTTCGTCAGTCAACAGGCATGAGGATATTATGGCCCTCCATCATCTTGGAGATCGACAGCTCCAATCGATCGATTCCCCACAAGCTTGCTATGAATACTGCTCAATGAACGGGGGCCAGGAAACGCCATTCTTCAGTTGGAATACAGGTACCAGTCAGTGCTTTTGCTGCGTTGGGGTGTGCAAACCCTTCCCCTTCGATCCTGATTCCAACGTTTTCGAAGTGCGCATCCCCAGGACGCTACCCCCAATGTCCGCGCCTACAGCAGCACCTACTCATGCTCCTGCAATGACTCCGACGGCTGCCCCGACAACTGCAGCTACAGCCTCGCCTACAGCAGCACCTACTCTTGTCCCTACGATGACTCCTGAGGATATATCATGGGCGAAGAGCTTCGGAGGCACTAATGCCAACCAAGGAACTGGCATTGCTGTGGACACATCGGCCAGCTCGTACACTACCGGTTCTTTCCAAGGAACCATGACGGTGGGTAACACCACCCTCAAATCTGCTGGCTCGGATGACATTTTCATGATCAAGCTGGACCCCGATGGCAATCCTGTGTGGGCTCAGGGCTTCGGAGGCACTAGTTCCAACCAAGGAACTGGTATTGCTGTGGACGCATCGGGCTGCTCGTATACTACCGGTTCTTTCCAAGGAA